CGGTGCAGCCGGGCCGGCAGGAGCAGAGCTGCCGCTGCCAAGTCTGCCAGCATCGTCCCTGCTGGAAAGGGAACAGTGATGAAGAACACCCCTTGCCAACGTCCCGTGAAACAATGACTCGCGCTTGCGCGGTGGCCTGGCCCCCCGTGGCCTGGCCCCCGGGGGGCGCTAGGTGGCCTCGCCCCCGGTGGCCGCTAGCGGAGGAGGCCAGCAGTGACATGTTCCCATTGGAGCTGGGCTGGTGGCCAGCCAGAACCTTGCCTTGCCGCGGGTGAGGCTCTCCAGGCCCTGCTGGGACCCTGACTCCTTCCCAGCCCAGACCGAAGCTCCTGTCCCGAGGCCTGTGGCCCTTCCCTGGAGGGGGGAATGCGCCTCCCTGAAGAGAGAGGCTGGTGGTTGGGGAGCAGATCCCAAGCCCTGCACTGGGAACCCCTCTTCGGGCATTGTTGCTCAGCTGATGCTTCTTCAATAGCTGGGGTGGGGGGCATGTCTCAAAGGCCCTGCAGAGGGGCCAGGCAACAACCAGGGCCTGGCACCTCCTGCCACAATCGGCCCTAGGGGTCCCAGGCTTTGGGTGGCTTCCCGGAACATCCTGAAACTCCTGTGGCTGTGAAACAGGCGCTAAAATGCTGCTTTGCTGCCTGTGCCTGTTGTCATTCCCGATAAATTGGTTTTGGAGGAGAAGGGTTTCTTCCATCTCAGCTGTACTGCAATGGGGTGCAGCAAGGCTGAACCTTCCCAGCACCACAGTGTGTTGCCGCAGCCGATGGTGCTGGGCAGCTCTGGGCTGATGTCTGTCGATGCTGGTCTGACCTGTCACTGGTCAGGAGAAGACGCTTGTCCAGCAGCGATTTGCAGTGACATTTTAAGCCCAGTTTGCAAAGCCAAATGTCAGTGCAAGCGCATGCAGGGGCTCCGATCTGGGAAGGAGACAGGGAGAGGGTCTCGGCCTGTTTCCGTACGTACTGGAGGTAGAAGGTGTTTCTGGCTGGGAAGGTGTTTATAATATTCTCCGAGTGCGTCTGGGTTTTCCAGGTGACCACACCTTGCTCGGCAAGCCAGGCACCGGGGTTTGGATGCGCTGCTGAATATTGTGTTACGGCATCACAGGTGTGTGTTTTTCTGTGGGACTGAAGGGCTTTCCATCCCCCTTTGTTTTTCAGGACATGCAAGAGAAGGAAACCGTCACCCCTGAGAGAGCAGAAGAGGCGAAACTGAAGGCCAAGTACCCCAACCTAGGCCAGAAACCTGGAGGCTCCGACTTCCTCATGAAGAGACTGCAGAAAGGGGTATTTATTTCTCAGCCGTGGCTCATCCGCATGCTTTCCTCCCTCAACGGCACAGGCAGCCAAGCTCCAACAAGGCCAGGGGAATCGCACCAAAATTCTCCAGGTCAAAAAGTCAGTTGAACCCATGGGCCAGGCTCCTTTCAGTGCCTGCACTGGACGTGGCACCCAGCAGGCATAAGCCCGAAGCAGTGAGGGCTGCTGTGGTCAAGCAAGGGCTTGTGCTTGCTCAGAACCCAAAAGCTGCCACTTCTTGGGTGGTTTTGCTCTGCGTATGTCCCCCAGCAGTGGATCCCACCCTGTCCTCCACACCCTGGCCTGAAACCTGGGGTCTAGAGGCAAAATAAGTGCATAAATCCCCCCCCTGCCTGCTGCTGTGCTCCCTGGGGTTCAGTGGACCCTGGGGCCTGAGTTTTTATCTCTGGTCTGTACTTCGCCTGGGTTCTGGGGTGGTGCAAAGGGCACTGAGAACACCAGTGAGTCAGCTGGCTGCATCTCTACTGCTGGCACCAGTGTAAAAAGCCAACCCTCTGACTGTGCTCCCTGGAAATGTAACTAAATCCCTCTCTGAGAGCCGTCTGTAGCCTGTTTGGGTTGTCACTGCTGGCTCTCCTCCTGGTGGAGGCTGGTGCAGAAAACATAAAGCCCTCCTGAGCTGCTGGCAGCCAGTGGCCACGTGCTTTCCCCAGCTCTGAACACACGGTGTCTCCATGTCACGCTTGCGCGGGGTTTGGCTCTGTCCTGCCGCTTCCCTTTCAGCTTGTATTGACAGATGTCCCCTCTGCCTGAGCAGCCGTGCGTGCTCGCTCTCACTGTTGACGTGATCACCAGGACTGGTGTTTTAGGTACCAGCTCCTAAAGCAAGCACAGGAAGGAGGGTTGTTTAATTGCTTGGTGCTGAAGCAGGGAAGGGCTTTTGGTCGGGACTGGGGTCATTGGGGCCTGATGGTGCATCGGGGCAGAACTGGGCTCTTCAGAGCTTCTTGTACCCAGCAAAGCCCCGTCTGTAGCACCAGCAAAAGCTCTACTTTGGTGTTCAGCCGCTGCGGGGGGTGAATCGTTACCGTGAAGGAGCACAGAGTCCCATGGTGATGTATGTGATAAGGGAGCGAAATGCCCTTTGAACTCTGTCTCGGTGGTGCTGTGCAGCAGGGAGGTGTCCTCCGGCCCTGTCTTCGCAGGCATTTCCCTGCATCATTTTGGCTGTTGGAGGCCCGTACGGCCCGGCGAAGGCCTTGGCACTGGCCAGGCTGTGCTCCCTGGGGAGAAAATCCTGCCTCTGTCGCACCGGCTCATCTGTTCACCAAACCAGAATAAACTGTATCAGCAAGCATCCCCTGGCTTTGCCACTGTAGCTGAGCCTCTGCTGACGTGGCTGTGTCTGCATTCGGCTGTCTGGGGGTCTCTGGACCCTGTCACACTGAGTGTGATGCAAGGGCAGAGCAGGACAAACCTGGTCTTCACCCAGCAAGTGCCATGCCGGGCAGTGAAAGTTCACAGGCTACAAACACCCAAAGGTGGATCAAAGGGAGAAAATGCACCCTCATGTCTTGAGTCAGAAAGGCAGCTGCTGTGGGGCAAAGTTTCTTCCAGCTGGGGCAGGTCTGAGTCACTCTGGGGTTTGCGGGTGGGTGCTAAAGGCCTTTTAAATCGGGCCAGGCTCCCTTGCTTGGATTTTCCCCTTGCATGATGTTTTGGTAACCTGGTTTTGAGGAACCCCAGCAGCTCCTTAAAGGATCATATTTGTGGCCAGGTGTCTGTATCTCTGCTGTGTCCCCACACTCCTGCAAATCAAAGTAACCCAAACTCTTCTCCCTCTTCCAGCAAAAATACTTTGATTCTGGTGACTACAACATGGCCAAGGCAAAGATGAAGAACAAGCAGTTGCCAAGTGCGGGGCCAGACAAGAACCTGGTGACAGGAGACCACATCCCCACACCGCAGGACCTCCCGCAGAGAAAATCCTCGCTTGTAACCAGCAAGCTGGCAGGGTAGCCTGCACTCACAGGCTGGGTTTTTTCCTATTTTCTTTTCTTCTTTTGGCTAAATGGATTGAACTTCACTGTACCATAGGGACAGGAGCACCAGAATCCACATAGTTATTTGAGTATTTACAGCGAACACACCCCAAAACCGAGAAGGCGAGCGAGAGGTGTCAGTAGCCCTGGACGCACAGGCAGATTTGATTGGGCCGTTCCTTTTAGCGAGTCGGTTTGCTGCCTTAATTTTCCTGCTGTTTGAAACCATCCTCGCTTGCAGAGCTACTGAAGCGCTGCCTTCTCACTGGGAGAGTCGAGCGGCCCCGGGAGAAGCAGGAAAGTGCTCAGAGGAGTCGCTTGCTGTTTGCTTGGCACCGGGTAGGAGGGGAGAGCTCAGAGCTGTGGCGTGTGAATGCTTTTCAGGTGTCGGGTGTCTGCAGAGGAAGAACTGGCTGGGCAAAAGGTGTGATACATAATCTGGAAGTTTAGTTAGGTGTGTGCGTTAGAGCTTCTAAGTGAAGAAATTAGCTGATATGCAAAATATTACGTGGCTGTGTTGCTGGACTGAGCTGCCTGGGATCTGTCCCCTGCTTGCACAAAGCGGCTAAGCTCACAGGAGGGGACAACGTATCTGACGGCTGCAGGAGAAGGGCCGGGCAATGTTTGAAACAGTCCTCGTGGCTTGGAGCTGCGATGAGGCGTTTGCTGTTTCAGGGGTAAAGCCCCACCACAGCCGCATCCAAGCACAGCTGTGATGGAGGGGTGCGTTGTGAGGCTCGCAGCTCCCCCAGAGGGTTTAGGGACAGTTTCTCTCTCCCCGGTCAGTTCTGGCTGCCGAGGCAGGGGTGAGAAATGGCTCCTCTCCCGGCTGCCGGGTAGGCAGCAAAAGGTGGTGAGCTGAATCCCACCAGCAGCAGGGCGCTTGGGACACAGGAGAGCGTGGCCAAGCAGGCAGGCGAAGTCCTGTCTGGTCACATGCAGCCCCTGCCTGCTGCCCAGACTTCGGTGCTTGCAAAGCGGGGGCTGGCAGCAGCCGGTGAGACACATGTG